CCCCGCTGCACCGGCAGCCGTAGCTCAGAGCCGCCAGGACTCCGGGCCCTTGGAGTCACTGTGGGAAAGGGCGGGGCCAGGGGCAGCTGCTAGCGAATCAGCTGGCGAGGAGGTCGGGGCAAGCGTGGCATTCCCAGGGCATGTGTCACGGAGGAGCCCGCAGGTGCTGCCGCCCAGGAGCAAGCCCTACCGGGGCGGGGGTGTGGGGGGAAGCCGCCTGCAGGGGTCCTGCGTTCAGGCGCCTGGTGGGAGGCCACCCTCTTCCCGCCCGGAAGGGTCTGGCAGCGCTGGCAGCTCTTGGGAAACAAGGGCACCAGCCAGGGTCGGGGGAGGAGTAGGAGGGGTGGGGCACCCAGAGCCCAGTATGGGCAGCCCATGGTCTGACCCCCACCCTGGGGTGGGCAGCCAGCCGGAGGCTTGAGCCCCAAACAAAGTAGCCTTGACCTGGCCCAGCGGGGCCTCACCTCCGGGGCCTCCAGCCCACGCAGACACCGTCACCTGGGTGGACCCTCCAGTGGACAACGGGGCTGAGCGAGCCTGTCACCGCACTGTTGTGACAGGGAGGCCCAAATAAGGACCCCACCCCAGGTTTCCTGGCCCGCTCCTTTCTGATCCTCGGCCATCCTCTCGGCAATGGACACCCACATCCGGTGCTGTGTCCGGGCAGGAGCCCATCTTGGACCTTCCCGGGACTCCTGGCGGTTCAACCAGCTAAGAAGGTGGAAAGCCCGCCTCTGCTGGCGTCTGGGAGCCACAGCTCCGCCTACCGCTCCACCAGCAGCCCTGGGCGTGACGCGCCGGCGAGTCTCTACGGCCAAGCTCTCTGGGGAGGGGCCCAATGCCGCCCCTCATCCTCGGGTACACACACTGGGTCCTCCGGCTCCCCGCAGGGCAGGAACCAGGTGAGCAGTGGGCACGGTGGGACGCCATCTCCCACCCTGCCCTGGCCCCTCAGGCCTCCTGGGCCCAGCTCCATCTTTCCATTTCAGAAAGTGCTTCTGACTATTAAATATTTATCCCAGCGAGGTGGACCTTTAGCTCCCAGCCTCCTGTGCCTCCAAAAAAAGAAAAACAAAGGGAAACCTGGAGGAAGAGGCAAGGCGGGCAGGCAGGGCCTAGAGGTGCCCCTGAAGGCACCCTGTGTGACCAGACCCCGGCCAAAAGGGGCAGCTGCCCTTAGAATGGGGAAGGGGTTCAGGGGAGTGTGGCCAGCTCTCGTGTGTGGCCAGCTGAGGCTCCCGTCCACCCTCCCCACTCAGCCTCAGCTCCTCGATGCCCCTCCTCCGCCCTACTGGGCTTATCCCTTCCCGTGGGACCTGCCCTGAAACCCTCCGAGGCTCCCCGGTGCCCTTGGAACACAGCCCTCCCGCCTAACAGCAAGGTCCCTACACCTCTCCACCCTTAACCCCCACCCCCATCCCCAGACCCACCCTGTTAAGCTACTTGCTGCTCCCCAGTCAACATTCTCTCCAGGCCTCTTGCACACGATGCCGCATCAGACAGCCCTTCCTCCTGGAAGCCCTCCCTGACTTCCTTGTGCACCGAGGTGGCACTGATGGCAGAAGCCCCACCTGTCTCACCTTTGATGAATGAACACTGGTGAATCCCTGCTCCCCAATGTGTGAACATCTAAGGCCCAGGGCCCCTGGGATGCACAGATGGGTGGGTGGGTGGACAGGCAACCCCGTTTCGCATTAGCCCTAGGTGTAGGGTCTGCCTCCTCCTGCCCCTGTCCAGGCAGAGGGCCAAGCTGGGGAAATCTGGGCTTTTCACCCCTGAAATGGGTGGCGGGGGCTCCCAGATGGCCCATTCCCCACCCCACCTCCCTGGGGTTCTCCTCGCTGGCACCTCCACTTCCCCACCCCCAGGCAAAGCAGCCCCAGTCTGAACCTGAAACACAGCCTTTCAGCAAAGGCAGTCACAAGAGAAGATAGAGAGAGGGTTGGAGTCTGAAGGAGAGCAATCCAGGGGGCTTCCTGGAAGAGGCAGCTCCTGGCTGGGCCCAGGATGGAAGACTGGCCAGAGGGAGAGAAGGCCATGGCCTTCACAAGGGCAAGGCCATGATGAGCCCCAGGTGGAGTGGGCGCACAGTGGGAGGCAGGTGGTTTGGGGCACTGGACCCTCCTATCCACTCCTGGGCCCCACCCTGCTTCCTGAGGCTGGATCTAGGCTATCCAGAGTGTTTCTCCACAAAGAGAAGAAGTGGCGGTGCTGTCAGGAACACGTATGCTATCACCAGCGGTGGCTTTCAGAATCGTCCTCATTAAAGTGTCAGGAGCGTCGGTACTCCTGCCCAGGATGGCCTCTGAGGCCTCTTCTCTGTGCTCGGCCTTGTGGGCCCCCTGCCTGGTGGGGCAGGGCAGCATCAGAGCGTGTGGCATGGCTGCTCTGGCCCCTGTGGAGGCCAGAGGGGCTCCACTTTGGTTCGGGGCTCTGCCTCACTGCTCTGAAACTCAGTGTCCCTTGTCTGCAAAATGGGGACACAGCCCTCTGCCAGTGTGGACAACCCAGGCAAAGCCACCAGTTTGGACTGCTCACTGGAGCCACCCCTTGGCCTCCCTGGCTACACAGCTCTACCTCTCTGCCCCGCCTGGGCCGTGAGCAGCCATGGTCACTCCTGTTCATAGATTCGAGATCCAGCCCATAGCCCAGAGTCCAGGCCTGTGCAGAGGCCACCGGCCCTGTTCAGAAGGGTGAAGCCACCACAGGGGATGCCCGACATTGCACTGCTTTCAGGAAAGGCCCCAGTGTTGCCGTGGCCCCCTGCCAGGGAGAGACCACCCAGATACGCCTCATGGTGTCATCTGCTCCTGGGGCTCTCTGACCCTTGTGGGGGCTTCTCAGGGTGGGTGTGGGAGGGGCCTCAGGCCAAGCCAGGGGATTGAAGGTGCAGGACAGAGGCCCAGCCTGGGAGTTGGGGGCTCCCTATCAGTAGTCTAGCTGCCTAAGACCCAGCTCTGTCTCGGGAAGGAACAAGCTGCCCCTGGGATAGGAAAGGGGGGCCCATTCCAGGTGGAGGTCGCCTGGGAAGGCAGTAGTGGGGTGGGGGTGTGCAGGTGCTACTCAGACTGGCCAGGCACAGGGAGGCTAGGCGGATCCTGTGCTGGTGTGTTCCCAGCACAGCCACCAGGGGGCAGCCTCCGAATGCAGGCTGGACCAGACATGGCTCCCTCCCCCGGGCCCCTGTCTGGGGCACCGACAGGATGTGGGAGGGGTCTTCAGAGGACCTGGAGGGACTGGTCCAGGAGGGCAGGTGTGGGCTGGGCAGAAACACGAGGGGCGGGGAGGGACGGGGAGGGCCTGCCCATCTCTGGCCTGCTAGGAGGGAATTGCAGCTGGAAAATGCCTGGACTGAATCCCCATGGCTCTTTATTAGGAATGCATGTTCCCTGGCCCCCTCAGAAGGATGGGGATAGCCTGGGAATCTGCATGTTGGACACAACCCCCCAGGGCCAGGTCTCCTGCCAACGCCCATGAAAGCCACTGACCTTGTTCCCTAAGAGGGGATGGTTTTGCAGGCTGGACACAAGGAAGAACTGCCCCAGAGGCCAGAGAACCACATGTCAGAGTAAGAATGAGGGCCTCAGCTGGGGAGGTGCTCCCAGCACAGGCCTCTGCAAGGCAGGAGGGTGGATAAGATGGCCCGAGACCCTGCAGCTTGGGAGTCTCCAGGCGGCCAGTAAGTGAGGAGAAGGCCATTGTGGGATGCGAGGCAGAGCAACGGCCCCAAGTCCTTTGGGCCCCGCTCCTCTCCCTGTGACGCGGCAGATTCCCAGGGATGTGGGCCAGGCCCGCCACAGTCAGGAGGAGGGGGCTAGGGACTCATCATTCTCCCGTTGGCTGTCCAGGGAGAATCGGGGTGCCTTGGCTTCCCACCTGGGCAAGGGAGGCCGAAACAGGAGGTCAGCTGGGCTTCAGTGCTAACCAGATTAATGGGCAACAGGAGGGACCCTGGGGGCTCCTGCTGCAGCTGAAGGGGAGCCCCACCCCCTCTGCAACAGCAGTGCCGTCATCATCGATCTCCGCTTTCCCCAGGGAGTGGGGTTCCGCCCGTGCTAATGCAGTGTGGCCCCAGCCCCCCTTGCTGGCAGCTGGCCAGGTGTCCTGGGTGTGGCCAGGCTGCGGCATTACTGACCCTGGGCTGGAAGGACTGTCCCTGACCCACCCCACCCTGCCCTCCACGATGCTGAGACACCCAGACCCCGGAACCAGGCCCAGTGCAGGGACAGACAGAGCACCTGGTTCTCATTCTGCGGCCAGAGGTGCAGAGGGAGGGGTCCTGCCCCATGGGCAACCCCCACCTACCCTTGATCAGAACTGGGGGACCCTGTGGCCTGAGCTCTGACCCCACTCAGGCCCCTCACCAAGCCCCAGACCTCAGCCACCACCTAGCCAGTGAGCCAGCACACAGCAGCCACACGCTGGACCCAGCCCAGCCCAGCCTAGCAGTCCTGGACCAAAGCCAACAAGCCTAACTCCTGGTCCAGCCAGACTGCTCTCCCCAAAAGCAGATCAGAGGGCAGTCCTGGCGGCAGGCTCCCACCGCCTGCCGACTCACGGCAGTCATGCCCCACTTACACGTGCGGCCCGCCCCAGGCGGCTGCCTCTAGGGACAGCACACGTCCCAGAGGGCTACAGCAGGGGTACAGCTGACAGAGAGGGAGAGACAGACAGTGAGTTACAGAGAGAGAGGCGAGGAGTGACAGGGTGGTAGAGGCGAGTCAGCGACCCAGAGAAATAAAGTGAGCGGCAGGGATGGAGAGGGGTGGGAGGCCAAGGGACAGGGACAGGTAAGAGACGAGACGCGGGAGGCATAGACCCGAGCAGCCCCCGAGGCGCAGAAACGCGCTCGAGACCGCGGGCCGGTCCCGGAGGCTCCCCCACCCTGGCCGGCGCCGCAGCCCACCCGCACCGCGCGCCCCAGGACCCGCCCGGCGCGCGCCCCGCGCGGAGCCCACCCGCCCCGAGGGGAGCGGGCTGCAGGCGGGGAGGAGGCGCACCGCTGCCGGGGGCTTCGGGCCAGGTGGGCAGCATCATGTGGAAGCAGTCGCACATCTTGGCGGCCGGGCGGTGCTGGCCGGCGGCGGCCCGTCGCGTCCAGTCGCAGATCCGGGCTCCGCCGCGCAGGCGGCCAGGGTGCGGGCGAGCGCAGCGCTCTGCCTCCGCTGCCCTGCGATGCCGCTGGCTGCAGGCCGCGGACTGCGGGCAGAGCCCGCGCCCCCAACCCCGCCGCCGCCGGGACCCCGCCCGGGCCAGCCCAGCCCGAGCCCAGCCACTGCGGAGCGAGCGCGGGCGGAGCCGCCGGCCTCATTCAGCCCATTGGCTGCTGTCCGCCAGGCCACGCCCCCTAGTGGCCACGCCACGCCCCTGTCTAGCCGGGAACCGGCTTGACCCAGGCCCCGCCCACTAAGGCCCAGCCTCTCAGTCCGGGCCCAGCCTCTCAGTCCGGACCCCGCCAACGTCCCACCTCCAGTCCGATCACCGGCACAGGCTCCGCGGCAGGCCCGCCCCGCCACTAGATTGGCCCCGCCCCGCGCCCCAACAGAGTCCTGAGTGTTGACTTTGGATGCCTCCCCAGGGGGGTCGGGGGGGGGGGCCCGGGGGCGGTCCCCGGACGCCGCGCCAAGACTCCCGGACTTGACCTGCGTGCCGCAGTCTTGCCTCCCAGTCCGGAGACAAGACATTTCAGTCACAAGCTGGGGAGCAGGGCACCCTGGGCGAGGGCGTAGGGGCAGCGGAGCCCAGGGAGGCCACGGCATGTGATCTGACTCCACTAGCCCGGCCCTGGGGTCTCCTGGTCTGGAGGTGTGCGCAGCGGGGTAGCATGGTGCCATGGTGGGGGTGGGTAGGGAGGGGTCCTGGAAGGCTCCGGGCAGACAGTCTAAGCTCGGACTTCAGGAGTAGGGAACAGTGTTCTGGACCGAAGCAAGGCAGTAGTGTGTGTGCAGAGGACAGACGGAGTAAGAGAGCCGAAGCTGGTTCACACCGCTGAAAGTTAGGCTCGGTGGGGTTGGGGGCAGGGGGCAGCAGGGCTGACTACCAGGTGGCTGGGGGATGTCCTTAGGGGCACAGTGCTGGAGGTCAGGAGCCCCGCAAGAGGGTGGGGGCTGGACCGGGGCAGGGTTGTGATGAGGGAGAAGGGTCCTGGATGTTCCGGAAGCTGGCAGAGGGGACTTGGAAGACCACTGGGGAGGTTTAGGGGCCACCCTTGGCTGCAGCTTGGGTGTCGTGCAGACGTGTGCAACGGGGCACGTCTGGGGGTGTGGGCAGGGAGTGGGAATGCCTGGGAGAGCTCTGTTTCCGAGGAAGTAGGGGGTTACCTGAGGCCCAGCCTGGCGTAGACCTGAGGAAGGGCCCCTTGGGGAGTGTGGGTCCTGCTGGGGTGGGGGTGAAGAGCCGGGGCCAGCACATTCCTGGGGGCTGCTCTGAAACGGTGCCGGTAGTGCTGGGGCAGATGAAACACACACAATCAACTTTTCCTGGGGCAGAAAGGGGCCAGGCTGAAATAGGACCACACAGACACACAGACTTGACACACATAGACACACACATGACACAGACACACAAACGCTTGTAGATGAGATGTCACACACTGACACCAATACACAGATACAGGTCTACTTGGATATGTCCCCATGCACCCAGAGACAGGCACACACACGCACGCGCGCGCACACACACATGCTTGGGAACACGCTCATACACATGCACCCACTCAGGCCCACGTGCCGGGGCATGCACAACACGACGCAGACACACACAGTGCGCACACGGAGCACACACGGAGCACACAGCACACACACGGCGCACACACGGAGCACACACGGAGCACATTACTTATTCCTGGGCTCACTCAGGGATCCGCACAGCTGGCAGGGCCCAGGTGAGCCTGCCCAGCGGGACGACTCATGCCTGGCAGTTCCCGTTAGCTGGGCTGCAGCCGGGCGGCCTTCCAGCAAACAGTCAGACAGACACACACATCACTGCCGGGAAGAGGCCCTGGCAGCCTCCCGTCTCTCGAGCCCATGGCATGACGGGGCGCAGCCCTGTCCTTTAGGTGGGGACATCGGGGCTTGGGTCTCACCCCTCCTGCCCTGGTGTCTTCTCTCAGGCCAGGCAGCATTGCCCTGGGGCCTGAGACCCTGCCCTACTCGGTCCGGATGGGAATCAGTTACTTGTGGGCACAGGGAGAGAGCTGTATGTGTCCCTGGGTGTGTCTGGCGTCTGCTCGGGCCTGTCGGGGGTCTCAGCCTGCCTGTCCTCTGTGTGTGTGACTCTGGCCTTGTGGGCCTGGGAACAAGGGGCAGTCTGTGCAGTCAGCACAAGCTCTCTGTCCCCCTGCCCAATTAGGCATGTGAACTTGGATAAGTCGTGTGGCTCCTGGGCCCCGTTCAGCTGAAGTGGCCTCACCCTGTGTGACATATATCCTGATTTTCCAGCATGGTGCACACAGGGCTGTGGTGGCTCCTGTCAGCTCTGTGGGGAGGGGGAGGGGAGGCCAGGGGGCTGCCCCACCTAAACAGAGGCCAGGAGGAGCGGGTCTCACGTGGCCACTGAGGGAGAGTGGAGGTGGGCACCGCTGGCCCCTCTGGGGACAGTCCCTGGGCAATTGGGTGCTCCCTGGGAATCCAGGCCAGCCGGGGCCTGGGGGAGGCTGAGGCAGGGACCCTCCCTGGGGCCACTTCTGCCTTTGGGCTTGGTGAGGGTTGGGTGGGCTTACATTTTCCTTCTGGGGCCGAGTTCACTCTGCAGCCAGGGAGTTGACTCAATACTAGCTCAGGGCCCCAGATTCAGGATGAGGGTAGGCAGGGACACCCCCGCCCCGGCCAAGGGGTTGCCCCTTCCCCTCTCTTGTGTCCCCTGAGGCAGAGGGCTGGCCTCACCCGCTGTGCACACCCCTATGTACCACCGGGGGCCCTGTAGGCCCATTTCATCTCTGGAAAGGTGTGGTCCCTCAGGCAGTGTACCCCACAGATGGTGGACTGCAGCTGTGTAGAGGGAGACTGCCCAGGAGTCAGCCCCCAGGCCAGCCAGGCTGGGCCCTGCCTCCTCCTACTAATCCCTCCTCCCACCCGTGGGGGCCTTGGAACCCCGGCCTGGCCCCGGGGTCACAGCGCCTGATGGGGAGAAGGCTGCCCGGGTAGGACCTGCGAGGCCCACCTGTGCCTGACCCCTGCCCTCCCTACCGCCCAGCTGAAGCCTGGCCGGGCGCCTGCCGCAGAGCCCTGCGCAGCCGGGAGCTCCTGCCGTCATCACGCTCCACTCCAGCCCGTCCTGAGGTCCCCCTCTGGGGACAGACGCCCCACTGGCGGAGGCCACAGCAGCTGGGCATGGTTCAGGAATAGCTGCCCCTCAAGAAGCATGGAGACGCGGGCTGACTCACAGCCACCCTTGGCACACACAAGGCCCCGCATCATTTCTGAGGGGCACCCCTGTGGGGGGCGGCCTGTGGGGGCTGTGAGCGGCCCGCGCTCTCTCCTGCTGGCCCGCACTTGCTCAACCCCCTCCCTAGGAGCACCGTGCCAGGGAGGCTGGCGCCACACCCCAGCCCTGGCCCGGCCCGCTGGTCGCGGGTCTCAGACTGGGTACCCAGGTGCTGTGGCTGGCAGTGCAGTGCACTGCTGGGGACAGGGCGAGGGGCCAGGGCTGCTGGCTGGCGTAGCTCCTTAGGCCCCCACTCCTCAGCAGAGCCCCAGGCCTGCCCCACCCACCTGGCTGGCTGCCCTCCGTGCCACTCCGGGCAGGCAGGGATGCCCAGAGCATCAATGATTGATGCCTCCTTGCAGCAGCTGCGGCAGCATAAGCAAAAATAGCTCTGCCACTGTCCCTGGCCCAGCCCAGCCCAGCTGGAGGGGCACACAGGGTGGTGGGGGCGCCTGGGTCGTCCTCCACTGCCATCTGCCCTCCCACCCAGTTCTCTGCACAGAGGCGGGGGAAGGGCTCCAGGTCTGCTGCCCCCGGCCTCTAACTGCCTCACTCTCCCCCAAGCTGAGTGCCCACTCCAGGCCTGGGGACGGGCGTCCTCCTTGACTCACTCTAAGGACTCAGGGCTGAGGAGCGGACCAGCGAGGTGCTCCCTGGAGCGAGTGGCCCTCCCCATGGCTCATCGAGTGACGTGCAGAGTTGCTAGGATACCGTGGGGCTCCAGGCGGAGTGGCAGCCGGCCCCTTCTTCCTGAGGCTGTGTCAGGGGAGGCTTGGTGGGGCAATGGCAGAGGAGAAGCTGCCCACACCACCATTCAGCAGGGCTGGGGTGCAGGGCTGCACCGAGGTGTTGACAGACGAGCAGCCTGGGAGGGCCACATGGGCTCTCTCTTCACCACGCTGTGCCCAGCCCGCACAGCGCCTCGCGAGTCGTGGCTTGTGTCCCCTGCACCCCCACTTTAATAGGGACCTGCCCCCTCTGGCCAGTCTCCCCCAGCACGTGAAGCCTTTCAAACTTCAACAGCTGCCTGCCCTGCCCAGCCACCTGGAGGCCTGGCCCTCGGCTTCCGCCCCACGTCATGCCCAGAGCCCCCAGACGCCGGCCTGAGGAGCCAGGGGCCACCTGTCAGCTCCTTGGGATTCCCCCACCCACTCCTGCATCCAGGGCACGGTACCCAATGTCGGGATCACCTCTGCTGCCTCCTCTGAGTCTTGGTTCCCCCAACGCAGCACCTCCTTAGAGGCGTAGCCAGGGGTCAGCCAGGTGTAACCACACT